ACTGGACGTCGCCTCCCCTACCGGCGACCACCATCATCGCCGTCGAGTCCAATCGCCGCTGCTGTTTTCTTCGTCGGTCGTCCGCCGCCGTCGAGTTGCAGCGCCGCCGGTCGCCCTTCCTTCGCCAGTAGCCGCCGCCCTCATCGCCGACGAATTGCAGCGCCGCCACGCCGAGCGCCGGATGTCGCCTCCACTGCCGGCGTCCTTCCTCGCCGTCGAATTGCAGCGCCGCCAGTCGCTGCTCATCGCCGTCGAGTTGCCGCTCCGCCACTATCGCCGGCGTTCGTCACTGTCGCCGCATCCAGCCGCTGCCCCGAGTTGATATCGCCGGCAGATTAACCTCCACGCCGGATTGATTGGTCGATTTCGCATTTTGACTCAATTTGACCCGTTCGTTTGATTTCGTTGATTTGTTTTCCGTTCGAGCTATCGATTCGATTTCGGCGTAATCCAGGTCCGTACTATGAAGTTAATAGCATTTAGAATAGATTTAATGGTTTGGATCGTTATATGTGTTTATGCTATAATTTGGCTAAATTGGTTAATCGAATTAAATTGATTACTTGAATTGTATTGTTGAGGATTATGGATTGACTGAACAGGTTTGACTTTGACTTAGGTTAGGTCCTGTTTGACTTGGGTTTTGACTGGATATTCTGTTGACGTAGGTTTGACCGAATGGTTAAATCCAAGACTTTAATGAATTAGTTAAGTTAATTAATTAATTCTAATCGGTGATTAAGGTCAATTGGTTTATTATGTCGAACATAGAAACTGGCCATTGCTCGGGCGGCTGCAGGGCCTGGTCAGTGAGGTTAAGACGTGCGCACGAGGGTCTGTGATCTTGGGTTTAAGGCTATCGCCCGAGGGATCCTACCTCCACCGAATTGAGGCTATCTTCGGTATTACGGATTGAGGCTATCTTCGTCATAGGCATTAAATGTTAAGTGGTTTGACTTTGGTGAAAGTCTAAATTGGTTTGACCGGTGGTCAAAGAGTTAATGAGAAACCCGTAACACCTAAATCATTTTGAAAAGAAAGAAAATAAGTTGACTGTTGGTCAACCGTCTAAAGAACCGAACGTAAAGTTGAATTGATTTTTATTAAAAGGATAAACATATGCACGATCTCAATTGTTGAATTATTATGTCTATTCTTGTGCTACAATGGAGTGCCACTCAGCGTCAATGCTGAGCGGATAGCGTTGTTTTCCTTTTTGCTGTCCGTAGGTGATCAGACAGATGAACCTAGAGCCGATCCTAGAGGGCATTGAGGAGGAGATGTACGATGGCGTGGCTGTGTCTTTAATCTGTTGATTATGCTTTATTTAATTAACTTTAATGCTTATTACGTTTTCGGGCAAGATCCCAAGTTGTTTGACTTTAAAAAGGCTTCCGCATTATTTTAAATTACTCCGATGGATTTTTATACGTATTGAAAGAACGTTTGTTTAAAATTGTTTTGAAAATGTTGCAAATTTGGATACCAATCCAGTTGCACACTGGTCCGCTGTCTCACGGATTTGGGTTACGCGGGTTGGGGTGTTACATTTTGGTATCAGAGCATTTGGTTTTAAAATCGGTCTTTGGACCCTTTCGAAATAAAATACAATGAATAATTCAGCCGCATCTGCATCTCACGTAACTCCTCTGCCCTGGGAAGGTAATAAGTATTTATAGCTTTATCTGTTATATGTTAAGATCTGACCTGGGAATTTCCTTATTATTTTAGAATGAGTCAAGAATCGACCCACGGTCAGTACGTTCCGGAGCCGGAGCACGTGAGCGTGCACACGGTGAACACCGAGGGTTCGAGTTTCACGCCTCCGGGTGACGGAGGGCAACAGCAGAATCAACCTGAGCCAGCGGGACAGCCACCAGCTGTACCACCGCCAGTCGTACCACCTCCAGTGATGCCACCGTTGGCGTTACCGCCGGTGGCCTACGAGCAGATGTTCCCGGCCATGATGGCCCATTATATGCAGCACATGGCGCAGCTTATGCCCATGTTCCAGCCACCGCCACCACCACAGCCTCAGCCGCACATCGTTACCTTCAAGACGTTGAAGGATAATGGAGCGGAAGAGTTTCGAGGAGACAAGATGGGGGAGCCCCAGATTGCATTGGATTGGCTTGAGCAGATGGACCGGGTACTCAAGAATTTGAGAGTCCCAGATGCTGATCGCTCGGAGTTGGCGTCACAGATGTTCCGGAAGGGAGCATATGATTGGTGGAAGCGCATTGACCAGGATCCACACACGCCCAAGCCGTGGACCTGGGATCGCTTCGATCGAGCCTTCACGAAGGAGTACGTCCCCACCCGGTACCCCAAGGAGAGGCGCGATGAATTCGTTGCGCTTAAGCAGGAGGGGATGTCACTGCCTGAACTGAGACAGAGGTTTGACTACCTGTCCCAGTATGCGACGAGTCTGGTCTCCACTCCGGAGGATCGTTTGAATGAGTTCGTCAAGAAGCTACGGCCGGACTTGAGGCCGTACGCCGCGCTGATCACGACGACAAATTTTAATGCGGCGTATGATTTGATTGTGAAGACAGAAAAGAGCTTGGACGATTTGCAGGCAACCAAGAAGGAGGATCGAGCGATGAAAGACCCGCGACCCGCGGCCAGCACCGGGTCGAGCGGGAAGAGTTTTGGATTCGGGGGAAAGAGGTACGAGAAGGGATCTTCGAGTGCGCCGCCGCCTAAGAGGAGTAAGTTGAGGCCGTCTCCGTCGGCCGCCGCTAGCAACTCGAACAGAACGAGGAGCCACCCGCAATGTGTACATTGTGGTAGGCATCACCCGGGCGAGTGTTGGCTCGCCCAAGGCTTATGTTTGGGTTGTGGCCAGCCAAGGCATTTCAGGAGGCATTGCCCGACAAACCCTAGCAGCGAGCCTGTTTTACCTAGAGCTCTGGATCAGCCTGCCGCATCACATCCAGCACGGAGTCAGCAGTCTACGGCCGCAAATAATCAGCAGAGACCACGTCCGCAGCAGTCAGTCCGGGCACCAGCGCGTACCTACGCCATGCATGGGCGCACAGATCCTAGCCCCGATGTTATCTTGGGTATGTTCGTACTATTTGATTCGGTTATGCATGCCTTGATCGATCCGGGTTCTACGTTCTCCTATATCTGTGTTGGCATGCCTGCTAATTCTGCGATTGTGAGGAGTGACCTTGAGATACCTACCGTTGTATCGAATCCGCTAGGACATAGCATGCGTCTTCATCACATCTATCATAGGTGTCCGTTGTCCGTGCAAGGGAATCTATTCCCTGCAGATTTGATAGAGCTACCACACAAGGAGTTTGACATTATCCTTGGTATGGATTGGCTCACCGAGCATAGAGCAGTGGTCGACTGCAGTTGTCGGACCGTACGGCTGAGAGCCGAGGACGGTAGCGACGTATCACTCTCCGGGGAAGTGTTCCCCAAGACTCCCGAGTTCATATCGTCCTTGAGCGCGAGGCGCTTGATTCGCAAGAAGTGCGAGATGTTCCTGTGTCACGTTCAGGATATGCGAAAAGAATCNNGACATTCGTACGGTTTGCGACTTCCCCGATGTCTTTCCCGAAGACCTACCTGGTTTGCCTCCGCCGAGAGAGGTAGAGTTCTCGATCAATCTCATTCCGGGTACGGAACCCATATCTGCTACACCGTATCGTATAGCACCTGCCGAGATGAAGGAGTTGAAGGCTCAGTTGCAAGAGCTACTGGAAAAGGGATTCATCCGACCTAGCGTTTCCCCATGGGGAGCACCGGTGTTATTTGTTCGGAAGAAGGATGAATCCATGAGACTTTGCATCGACTACAGGCAGTTGAACAAAGCCACAGTGAAGAATCGTTATCCATTGCCTCGTATCGACGACCTGTTTGACCAGCTCAGAGGAGCTACGGTATTCTCGAAGATTGATCTGCGTTCTGGATACCATCAGATTTCCGTTAAGAGAGAAGACATTCCGAAGACTGCTTTTAAAACACGCTATGGGCATTATGAGTTCTCAGTCATGCCTTTCGGATTGACTAATGCCCCGGCAGTGTTCATGGAGCTTATGAACAGTGTGTTCCGACCATACTTGGACCAGTTCGTAGTAGTGTTCATCGATGACATCTTGGTTTATTCACGGACTCAGGAGGAGCATGCTAGACATTTGCAATTGGTTTTGAGTGTATTGAGAGAGCACAAGCTGTATGCAAAATTGTCTAAGTGTGAATTCTGGTTGAGTGAGGTGACATTCTTAGGACGTGTTATCTCTACCACCGGTATCCAGGTAGACCCCAGCAAGATTTCAGCCATAGTGGATTGGAAGACTCCGCGGAATGTTCGTGAGGTGAGGAGCTTCCTTGGGTTAGCCGGTTACTATCGTCGATTTGTTAAGGGCTTCGCCTCGATCGCTACTCCATTGAACAAGCTACTGCGTAAGGACATCAAATTTGAGTGGTCAGAAGCGTGCCAGCGCAGTTTTGATCAACTGAAGGAGTGCCTGACCCAGGCACCAGTCTTGATTCAACCTACTCCTGGCATCGAGTATACCATCTATAGTGACGCATCTCATAGCGGCTTAGGTTGTGTACTGATGCAGTTGAGTAAGGTAGTGGCCTACGCATCGAGACAGTTGAAGACTCACGAGGAGAACTACCCGACACATGATTTAGAGTTGGCAGCCGTGGTGTTCGCCTTGAAGATTTGGCGCCACTACATCTTTGGAGAGAGGATTCACATCTTCACCGA